ATTTCCCTCTGGTGCATTCAGTGCCTCAAAATCCTCCCTTCTCATGCTTTCTTACACTAAACCAGAGCTGTTCGCCTTTTAACTTTCCTCACCCCGGCTGGCTCCAGCTCCCCCTTTATCATACATATTTCTTGTTAGAATGACCTCTTCCCACCCACCTCCAAGAGAGGCCTGGTGTGTAACCCCACAGAGGATCAGGTCTCTTTAGGAGGGGAGAAGGGAGTGTGGTTGGTAAGAATTATAATTTAATGTAATTGTTATGGGCCTCCAGGAGTTGATCACTAAACACTACAATTACTTCTGTCGATTGAAGAAAAAATGAAGCTTTTAAAGGATTAAAGTTAGTTTTATTCAGAAGTCTCACTGAGGTCTGCAGAAGCAGATCTTTAGAGAGGTTCCATGAGACTACTCTGGCAGTATTTCAGCTCACTGCTCATATACAGGTGTGGGGGTTTAGTATCTGCAAAATCACATCAAACTTGCTCAGAAGTTACATTGCGTGTAAAGTGCATCTGATTATAGATTACATAGGCATAATCACTAACTTGCCAAACATGATCTTATGTGTAGGAAAAAGGACTAGGGTCATTGCTTTTTTTTTTTTTTTAATCTACTGATGGAGTCTCACTCTGTCGCCAAGGCTGGAGGGCAGTGGCACAATCTTGTCTCACTGCAACCTCTGCTGCCAGGTTCAAGTGATTATCCTGCCTCAGTCTCCCAAGTAGCTGGGATTACAGTACTCTGCTACTACACCCAGCTAATTTTTTTTTTTGTAGATTTTAGTAGAGACAGGGTTTCACTGTGTTGGCCAGGCTGGTCTTGAACTCCTGACCTCATGATCCACCCACTAGGCCTCCCAAACTGCTGGGATTACAGGCATGAGCCACCGCACCCCGACTTTTTTTTCCCCCTTGAGACAGAGTCTCGCTCTGTTGCCCAGGCTGAAGTGCAGTGGCACAAACATATCTCACTACAGCCTCAGCCCCCCCGGGCTCAAGTAATCCTCTTGCCTCAGCCTCCTGAGCAGCTGGAACCACAGGTGGGGGCCACTACGGCCGTCTAGTTTTTTTTCGTAGAGATTGGAAGAGGGGTGTCTCACTTTGTCACCCAGGCTGGTTGGTCTCAAACTCCTGGGCTCATGATCATTCCACCTCAGAGTCCCAGAATGCTGTGATTACAGGCGTGAGCCACTGCTCCTGGCCTTATTTATTTATTTATTTATTTATTTATTTATTTATTTATTTATTTTTTATTTTTGAGGTGGAGTTTCGCTCTTGTTACCCAGGCTGGAGTGCAATGGCGCGATCTCGGCTCACCGCAACCTCTGCCTCCTGGGTTCAAGCAATTCTCCCGCCTCAGCCTCCTGAGTAGCTGGGATTACAGGCAAGCGCCACCATGCCCAGCTAATTTTTTGTATTTTTAGTAGAGACGGGGTTTCACCATGTTGACCAGGATGGTCTCAATCTCTTGACCTCGTGATCCACCCGCCTTGGCCTCCCAAAGTGCTGGGATTACAGGCTTGAGGGCCTCACTTATCTTTTAAGGAATATAATGACTCGGGCAAGAGAATTGGGCGTAGCGTGCTCTAGACTGTTTTGTCCTCAAAGCATCTTTCCCCAGACCTGCAAGTTGTCACAGGGCTGGGGCTTCGTGAAATTCCGCTGTCGGCCGAAAGGAGCACACATGGCTTCTTATATTTGCTACTTTGTCTTACATTTCTATTGTTATAATCCCTCCAGGCCGTCTTACCGGACTTGCCATTGAGACTAATGGATGTGTTGGAAAGAGGCTGGCACGGTCTGTGGCGGAGGCAGGGCCAGGCAGGCCCCGCCCCTCAGCCAGGCCTTGGGCCGCATGGCTGCTCTCTGGGAGCTGCACGCAGCGGGGTGTCTGGTCCCCCCAACTCACGCCCCACAGAGGCACCTGAACCTCCAGAGGAAGGAAATTAGTCTGGAGGATTCGTGGACGTAAGATATGCCGCCTCTTCTGGCTGGGATCACTCACAGATGCCTCAGGGAGGCAGCCAGCCCTGAGTCACGCTGAGCGCTGAGCAGGTTGTGACTCAGCGGGGCAGCGGCCCCTTCGCTGCGCCTGGGTTGATTTGCGCCCCGCCTGTTTTCTGCAGAAGACAAGGCCCTCTGGGATTAGACTGCTCCTCCTAAACAACCAACAATTGCTTTTCTTCCTCAAAGTGCAGTTTCCCTCTGGCACAACCAAAATAAACACAAATCAGGCTCCTGCCAAAGGAGGTGGCGGGGAGAAGGACAGTCCCTGGGGCGCCCACCACACGCATGTGAGAGCTCGCAGGCCACTTGCCAAGCATGAATCTGTTAGGAAGTGGCCACGAAGGCAGGGAAACCTCCCATCGCAGGTTGCCAGCACAGAGGCGCTGCACGATTGAGTTGGCGCTCTATTTCCCCAACTGCTTCCTCTCAGGGTCCCTCCTCACTGCTGGACTCACTACCGCGTGGGCCTGAGCACATTTCCTTGGCAAATAGTCCTCAGTGGAAGTTTTTTCTTCTCGGTTTGGTGAGTCAGAGCTGGCTCACACACAAACACCAAGCAGCAGTCTCAGGGACTAAAGTGCTTTAAGGACAAGAGGACCTATTCTCCCTCCTCCCATCTCAGCGGGGTGGGTCCACAATTCCTGAAACCTGGCCCAGTACAGTTCATTTGACAGGGAGAGGCTGAAAATGCAAATTGCTCCAGCCTAGGTGAGTGCACAGCAGAGACCGCGACTTCGCTGCAGCTTTTCCTAAAATCCTGAAGGCAGGAAACATAGTGCCCACAGGAAGAGCTGGGCAGCCTGAACCATACTGAGATGTCCCAGGGTGAACCAGAGCCACTGGTTGGTTAGTCACACTGACTTCACATTTCCTTAGTGAGAAGGAACTGAAAACAGATTCCAGAACTTGCTGTGTGGAGAATTTATAGTTCACTGCATGTAAGTAAACTCATGTGGTTCCAAATCTATAGGATCAATTCAGCCACTTTAGTGTTATGTCTATGACACATGAGTTTATAAAAATCTAAGTGTCCCTAGTTAGAGATACTAAAACTAAGCAGGCCTACCTTTTAAATACTTATTGTTGATTTTATTTTTGAATAGATAAGTTACTTATGCATTCAGATATCAAATCCTCATAAAATGATATACATTAAGAATTCTCATTTCCATTCTGTTCTCATTCCTCTCGGCCCCCATAAATAACCACTTTTACTATTTTTTAATATATCCTTCCAGTGTATCATTATGTACATATAAACAAAAATTAATATACTTATGTGGTTGTCAGAATAAGGCCTCCCAAAAATGTCCATGTGCTAATCCCCACAACCTATTAATTTGTTATTTTACGTGGAAAAGGGAGTTTGCAAATGTGTTTGAATTGAGGATCTTGAGATTGGAGGTTATTCTGGATTTCTCCGGTGGGCCCAATGTAACCACAGAGAACCTTCTAAGGAGGAGGCAGTAGGGTCAAAGTCTGAAAAAAGAAAGCTTGTAAGATGCTACACTGTCAGCTTTGAAAATGGAGGAAGGGGGTACGAAACAAGGAATGCAGGCAGCCTCTAGAAGCTGACAAGGCAAGGAAATGGATTATTTCCTAGTGCCTCCAGGAGGGCAGTGTTCCTTAGACTTCTGACTTCCAGAACTAGCAGTGAATAAATTTGTGTTATTTTAAACCACTAAGTTAGTAGCAGTTTGTTACAGAAACCACAGGAAATGAAGACAACTATTTCTACATTTTTCTTCTTTTTTTAACTTTTCTTTTAGGTTCAGGGATACATGTGCAGGTTTGTTATATAGGTAGACTCATGATATGGGGGGTTGTTGTACAGCTTATTTCATCATCCAGGTACTAAGCCTAATGCCCAGTAGTTATTTTTTCTGATCCTTATAAATGAGAACATATGGTATTTGGTTTTCTGTTTCTGCATTAGTTTCCTAAGGATAATGGCTTCCAGCTCCATCCATGTTCCCACAAAAGACATAAGCTCTTTCCTTCTTATAGCCGCATAGTACTCCATGGTATGGAGTACTCCATGGAAATGTATGAACATTTCCACTGTTCACAATAGCAAAGATATGGAATCCACTGTTTTCTTAAATGAAAGTTAGCATACCTTGTATAGGGTAACCCAAAAGTCTTGGTGCAATTTTGGGCATTAATAACTTCAGAATTATAAATGCTACAAAGAACATTACTTGGAAGTTTTATTATATAAATTTCTTTTACATTTATTTAGTTTTGCGAGTTTTAAATAGTACATTTTATTTTTTGTTTCAGTATCTCTGATTGAAGATAGAAAACAATAATGAAACAAAAAATTAAGTTTAAATTTTATTCTTCCAAATTCACAAGACTATACAAATGAATAAGTAATGTATACAAGGCTGAGCATGTTTACTCATGCCTGTAATCTCAGCACTCTGGGAGATCGAGGTAGGTAAATTGTTTGAGCTCAGGAGTTTGAGACCAGTCTAGCAACATGGCAAAACCCTGTCTCTACCCCCCAAAAAGAAGAAAATTAGCCAAGAGTGGTAGTACATGCCTGTGGTCCCAGCTACTTCAAAGACTGAGGTGGGAGGATCGCTTGAGCCCAGGAGGTTGAGGCTGTAGTGAGCTGTGATTGCACTACTGTGTGATTGCACTACTGTACTCCAGCCTGAGCAACAGAGTGAGGCCCTGTCTCAAAAAAAAAAACAAAAAAAAGCTCTCTCTATGTCTAACACAGTCATGGCTTGTGATGGTTCCAAGAAGTATCTGAAGCAGGCAGCAGCTCCATAGCATTAGATACTGGATAAATTGCCCCATGTGTTTGCTCCTCATCAATCCACCCATCACCACAAGCTGAGAGCGTGTCTCTCCCTCATCATTTTCCTAAGGAACAGACTTAACGTACGTTCAACAGGAGATGAAATAAAGAAGATTTGCATGTAGAGGTTCATTAAGATTAATGGCAAGATCCGAGCTAATGTAATCTACCCTGCTGGATTCATGGATGTCATGAACACCAACAAGACAGGAGAGAATTTCCATCTAATCTATGACACCAAGGCTCCCTTTGCTTTCATCATATTGCACCCGAGGAGGCCAAGTTACAAGTTGTGCAAAGTAAGAAAAATCTTTGTGGACACAAAAGGAATCCCTTATCTGGTGACTCATGATGCTCACACCATCTACTACCCTGATACCCTCATCACAGTGAATGATACCATTCAGATTGATTTGGAGAATGGCAAGATGACTGGTTTCATCAGGTTCGACACTAGTAACCCGTGTATCATGACTGGAGGTGCTAACGTGAGAAGAATTGATGTGATCAACAAAAGAGAGAGGCACCCTTGTTCTTTTGACATGCTTCATGAGAAAGGTGCCAGCAACAACAGCAAGAAACCATGAATTTCTCTTCCCTGAGGAAAGAGTATCTGCCTTACCATTGCTGAAGAGACAGACAAGAGACTGGTGGCCAAACAGAGCAGTGGGTGAAATGGTCTCTGGGTGGCATGTTAGATCTTTGTACATAATTTAAAATAATATGGGCTGGGTGCGGTGGCTCACACCTATAATCCCAGCACTTTGGGAGGCCAAGGCAGGCAGATGACTTGATGTCAGGAGTTCGAGACCAACCTTGTCAACATGGCAAAACTCTGTCTCTACTAAAAATACAAAAGTTAGCTGGGCATGGTGGCATGTGCCTGTAATCCCAGCTACTCAGAAGGCTGAGGCAAGAGAATTGCCTGAACCCAGGAGACGGAGGTTGTGGTGAGCCGAGATAGCGCCATTGCACTCCAGCCTGGGTAACAAGAGCAAAACTCCATCTCAAAAAAAAAAAAAAAACGAAAGTTAGCCAGGCTTGGTGGCTCATGCCTGTAATACTAGCTACTCAGGAGGCTGAAGCAGGATAATCACTTGAACCTAGGAGGGGAGGTTGCAGTGAGTCAAGATTGCACCAGTGCACTCCAGCCTGGGTGACAGAGGGCAACTCTGTCTCAAAATAAATAAATAAAATAATAATAATAAAATGGCATGATTAATCTAAAAAAGAAATAAATGTATACAATTAAGTTTCAAATCATGTTTCCTCTATGTTTATAGTACTTGTACTTCTAACATTATAAAAGTTTTGGACTGCACTAAGACTTTTGGGATACAGTGGATATTGCTCAGCACTTTGATTTTTGTCGGTGAACAATATGTCCTAGGGTTTTTGTATCAATACGTAAGGACTTCTTTTTTTCTTTTATAGCTGTACAGCGTCCCTCTCCTGTTGGTATACCATAATTTATTTAAGCAGTCCTCTATTAATGGATACTTGGGTTGTTTTTAATTACAAAGAGTGCTACGGTGGGTAATCTTGTACATATATCATTGTACAAGTAGATCTATAAGTAAATTATCAGAAGTAAGGATGTTGGGTCAAAACCCTACTCTTTAAGAAACAAGATTTGGATGAGCTAATTTGCAGGAAAGATAAAGAAAACAATAATAGGGTGTTATAGATTGTTGGTAGATCGGGGTAGACTCTGGCAAAGGTGACTACAGTAATTCCTCCTACCTCTTTGTGGGTGCCGGTTCACTGTGACTTTGCTGCTTCTGTCATCAAGAGGTCATTTATTTATTTACATATTTATTTTTATTGATACATGTTAGATGTACATATTTTCTGAATACATGTGACAATTTGATACATTCATACATCAAATCAGTAATTGGGATATCCATCACCATTTTTAAAAAAATTGAAACAGGATCTCTCTGCTGCCCAGCTGGAGTGTAACGTCATGCTTATGGCTCACTGCAGCCTGGCCCTCTCAGGCTCAAGTGATCCTCCCACTTCAGCCTCCCCAGTAACTGGGACCACAGGCTTGCACCACCATACTCAGCTAATTTTTTGTATTTCTTGTAGAAAAAGGGTTTTACCATGTTGCCCAGGCTGGTCTCAAACTCCTAGGTTCAAGCAATCCACCCACTTCAGCCTCCCAGAGTGCTAGGAATATGGATGTGAGCCACTGCACCCAGCCAATATCCATCACACTAAATATTTATCTTTTCTTTATGCTAAGAACATTCAAATTATTCTCTTCTAGCTATTTGGAAATATAGAATCGATTAATGTTAACTATAGTCACCCTACTGTTCTATCAAACATCAGGTCTTATATCTTCTCTCTCATATATATTTGTATACATTAATCAAAGGTCAAGTTGACTTCCTGACTCCTGGAATCTGGGCTGGCTAGTGACTGGCTTTGACTAATAGAATGTGGAGAAAGTGATATCATGGGACTTCCACGCGGGAGCCTTGAAAGGCCTTGCCACTCCCTCTGTCTTCTTCTGAACCCTAGGTCCTCCATAGGAAGGCTGGGTGCCTCCATGAGGAGAGAGCCAGAGAAAGAGGCACAGTCAGCACCCAGCACAGGTGAGAAGGCCATGCAGTCATGAGCCATCCAGTCCCATTGGAGCCAGTAGATGGCAAGCAAGTGACCCCAGTCCAGAGAGTAGGAACACGAAGACAAGCCCACTCCAATCATCAACCCAGAGGCCTGCTGTTGTTGAAAGCTACTACATTTTCAGGTGCTATATTATGCAGCAATGGAAAATCCATGCCTCAGGGAAGTGGTTTCTCTTCACAAAACTTACTTTGAAAGGATAAACAGTATGTTAGTCGCAGCAAGTGAAAACCTTTTAGAGTAGCCTATGGACAGTCAGAAATTTTCTGAGCAAGTTCAATTCAGCTCATCTTGTGCTTAGCAGGGAGTGTAAGAACTATGGATCCACACCTCAACCCTGAGCACACCGAAAACTTGGCTGACTCACTAAATTATCTCACTTTCACAAAGAGACAATGGAAGGCTGAGTGTGTGTCAGAGGGTGGCTAGGTGAAGGGGTCCCCCACCATGAGGGGGTCCCCCCAAGTTTCATTGTTGGGCAGATTCCAAAGTGAAAGGGAAGGAAATCCACTCCTGCATCATCCCTTCTGACGCACGCTAAGGCTCTTCTCAGTTCAAGAAATCAGGAAAATGAGGAGTCTGAAAGTAGCCTGATTAGCTTAATCAGGCTCAAAAGAAAGAATACATTTGATTTTCATTTTTGAACTAGTACACCAGAGTTGTCAACATCAAGAAAATCAATTTAATGTGTTGCAACTAGTATTTTCTTAAATGATATTTGTACACTCATGTTCATAGCAGCATTATTCATAATAGCCAGAAAGTGGAAGCAACATAATGTCCATCAATGAATGAAAGGATAAACAAAATGTTGTGTGTGTGTGTGTGTGTGTGTGTGTATCTATATATATGTATATTATATATGCAATGAAATATTACTCAGCCTTTAAAAGGAAGGAAATTTGGACACATGCTATAGCATGAAGAACCTTGAGGACATTATGCTAAGTGAAAGAAGCCAGTCACTAAAGGACAAATATGATTCCACTTATATGGGATACCTAAAGTAGTTAAGTTCAGACTCAGGAAGTAGAATGGAGGTTATCAGCGACAAAGGAGAGGAAATAGGGAGTTTCTGCTTAATAGGTATGGAGTTTTAGATTTGGAAAATAAAAAATGTTCTGGAGATGGATGTTGGTGATGTTTGCACAGCAGTGTGAATGTAATTAATGCACAGAACCATACACTTAAAAATTAACATGGTTCTTTTTATGTTATAAATATTTTACAATAAAAAAAGAAGCAGAATGAAATATAGGTTACACAGATGTGTTTACTGCGTGAAAATATATCTGGATCTACACTTATAATCATGTACTTTTCTGCCTTTTCCTATGCTTCAATAACAGAATTAATTATTGAAAAGGTAAATATGAGAGATATTAGAATGTATTGCCCACAGTAAGGGTGTTTTGTGAAATTTTTGTTATAGTTAGAAGTGTGTGTGTGTGTGTGATCATGTTGTTAAGTGTATTTTGGATTCCAGTTTTTAAAAAATTGAAGAAACATTATGCTGGGGCAAGTCTCCACGTCTTAGTGTGTGGTTCCTTCCTTCTTGAATCTGAGATGCTTTTTCCAGTGGAAGTAATTTAATTTTGACATTCATCTATGCAAGCAGAAAAATCCTTTCCCTCGGGTCTTTTCATCATAATCATTTTTCTCCATCTGACTGCTCACAGTAACTAGATTGTATATGCTAGATTAACCAGTAAATCCATACACAGACTTTCTATCATTTTGCTTCTTGGACTGTTCATGAAAGCATTAGCAGCATACATCATGATGAGAGGTTATGACATTAGCTTTATGCTTCGATTCAGAAAAACTACAGTTCCTTTAAACCATAAGGCGTTTGGATTTTAAAATTCCTTGGTGGTTATGGTTCTAAAGGTCTTGTGCTAATAGAAATTTCCCACTGTAACATCTAAAACAGTGGGTTGTTCATCTAGTGCTTGAACATTTCTGATGACAATAAGGCATCTCAGCCCATTGATTCATTGCTGGGTAGCCTCCAATGCTAGAAAGCCTGTCAGGGTAGTTTAATGGAAGAATTGAGGATGAGTCACCCTGGAGCCCAAAGAGGCATCTGTGATCACCTTAGCCTCGGTCAAAAAAACAGGTGCCTGGACCATTTGTCATCCATATTTTCAAAGGTATCCTTCATGGGGCATGTGTATTGGTTTAAAAGGATGCACTTTAATTTTCTCTGTGTTTTAATAGAATGGAGCACCTAATACCAGGTACTTCTAAAACAGGAGAGGAGGCGTTTCTTTAAGTATTGTGAACAAAGGATCAGTGACTGCACACTGATTATTCCATTCCATCTTTATGGTCCTGCGGAGAAGACTCTCATGATCTGGGGGCATCTTTCTCTTGGATGTATGTGGCCCCTACTCCCCACAGCCTCCCTGTTACAGGGGCCACCTCCAGTGGGGAGTGGGGGCCCTGAGGTGCCCCAGAAATGCCCATGGCTGATAGGTGAGTCTAATTCTAGAGATCAGTATTTGAAAGTCCACTTGATTATATAAGCCACATCTCCAATGATCAATTTTATCTAATGAAGGTAGTAATTTGGTCTTCCTTTGCCTTATTATTATAATTATTTTTTTACTTTGAGCATGTTACTCATTAAGCCACTGGAATGCCAGCAACATAGACTTTATATTTAACTGGCTAAAGAAAGCTGCACAACAGGGCAGATTTGGGAAACTCCAAGTTAGACCCCAACCCTCTAGGGCTATTCCTCAGTCCTTTTACCTGGCTTTGGCCAATTTTCTTTTCCATCCTCCTCATCACTTATTCCAAACCTTCTCCAATCACCAAGTCCTGATCCTTACTGCCAGCACACAACATCATCCCCTCCACCCTCAATGAGAAAAGTGAGGTGCCAGTGAAATAGATCTACTCCCTCTTTCCCCTTTATGAAAGCTCTCCTGGAAAAATAGAGAAA